GGGGGGGAGTAAGGGGGGGTAGTGGGGTTATTGGGGATGGACTCCAATTTATTTTTTTATTTTTTTATTTTTTTTGCAGGGTGCTGCCGACCGTCGACCGGTAGGGCCCGACCAGCCAACCGGTCCGTCTGGTCGGCAGCCGATCAATCAAGGGGTGCCGACTGTCGGCCTGTGCAACTCTAACGCCCGGTCATTATAGCTGCATTTGGCTTAACTTTCCGTCCAGATACAGCAATGATGACCGGGTGTTCTATTCGGGTGAAGACGGTAGAGGGAAGGTATTATAGAGCATTTTTGTCTGGGAGAGCATTAGAAACCAGGAGAGAGAGAGAGGAAAAATGAAAAGCACCGAGAAGAAAGGTGGTTATAAAGGCTTCCACACAGCATGACACACAGTCAATGGAGAGAGAAAAGAGAGGGTCTGACGGGTGGTGAAGCGACAGATGATAAGAGTGAGAGGAAGGTGAGATGAATGGGCAAAGATTATGTGTGGCCAACCTTTGATACCATCTTATTTACGATCTCGATTTGTGCAAGACCAACTGCAACAGCAAACAAATAGATTGGTTTCATGGGGAGATCCTGCAAACCGTCCAGATACATTGCATGGATGCCAAGCCGTAACAACGATTGGTCAGACAATACACTCGACCAACAACATCGATTGTGACGCCACTTAGGTTCCATAGTGTGCCCTTCTTTTTCTTTGCTTTGGAGAGGCAACTGTCTTCATAACCTTGCCTAGAAAAGAATATATATGCTCCAAGGCCAAAACTTATCTGAACTCTGATACTAACTTGTATCAAGCCCACATGAAACTTCCTCACATCTCAAGCACTTGGCATCTTAGCTGGCAAAAGGGACACCATTACATAGACTTCTTAAATGCAGCCTCAAGACTCTCAAGAGTCTCAACATGAGAACTACATTTCTCAATCCAGTCCTAGCCCTTTCAGAGTTCATTCACTCCCATAAGTTTTGTTTGCTCTCTCTCTCTCTCTCTCTCTCTCTCTCTCTCTCTCTCTCTCTCTCTCTCTCTCTCTCTCTCTCTCTC